CACACACACACACACACACACACACACACACACACACACACACACACACACACACAGAGGAATATTGCCAGCTGGAGCCTCTACTTTCCAGGAGAAAATAGAGATATCCCAGCTGGGAAAAATGCCTGGGGAAAGGGATGCAATACCTTGTGTTGGGGCCAGTCCTTAGCTGGCGATAGAGGGAGAGGGATTCCAGGAAATACCTCCTCAGCAACAGCATCTGTGGTCCAGAAATCAAGAGGAAAAACTCAGCTGGGATCAGTGCCAGGAGCAAGTGCCCGCTTCTCCGAAGCAGCATCCACACACATGGTCCTAGGCAGGAACCAGCAGCTGCAGGGAGACTTCTCAGGTGGCAGCAGGGCTGGAGAAAGTAAAGTGGCGCGCTGCAAGCCCAGGCGGTGGGCAGGCAGGCAGCAGCAGCAAGAATGCTTGGCTGCAGAAGCAGAAGCGGAGCTCCTGAGGAGAGCACCCCGTGCTCCGAAGCGAGAGTGGTGGCTGATGTGAACCCACTCGAAGCTCTCTCCTGCTCAGCTATACATCACCCGGAGAAGAGACAGCCTTTCCACGCTTGGCATGAATTATTCAATAGCTCCTAACTTGTGAAAGGAGGAAAAACATCTTGCTCAGAAAGCCCTGTAGTTAACGAGTTTCTCTTTTCTCTCTCCTTCCCTCATCACCTTCGTTTTCATCGTGCTTCATTTTTCTTTTCTTTCTTTTTTTCCTCTCCCTTCAATGTTAAAATAAAATTTAATATACTCCCAGTGTATTTCATCTCAACCTGATGCATTCTGGGGGCAAGATTTTTCTGAGAGATAAATACACTCCCAATACCTGGGACTGATCTCTTCATTTCCACATTTTTAGGGAGAATTACTTTATATTTTAATTGAAATTCATCTTTTCTTTGGTAAACTGGGACATGGATAATTATCCACAGAAAATCTCCAATCTTCAATTTAAATCATAATTTCAGTTTTCTCTCATCACCAAACTCCTTTCCAGTTTGGCTTGTGTTTTACTAAAGAATTGGTTAGAGGATAAAGATGAAATGGTCAGAAGGTTTAAAGTAGGTGACAGTGGTACATCTGGACGATGGAATATTATTCAGTGCCAAAAAGAAAAGAGCTATCAAGCCACGAAAAGACCTGTAGGAAATTGAAATGCCTATTACAAAGTGAAAGAAGACAATCTGAAAGGGCTACACACTGCATGATTCCAAGCATATGGCATTCTGGAAAAGGCAAAGCTATGGAGACGGTAAAAAGGTCAGTGGTTGCTAGGGTTAGGGGGAAGGGAGGGGTGAATAAGTGGATCACAGAGGATTTTTAGGGTTGTGAAACTACTCTGTGATACTGTAATGGTGGCTACATGTCATTACAAGTTTGTCCAAACTCACAGAATGTACGACGCCATGTGGACTTTGGGTGATGATGATGTGTCAACGTACGTGCAACAATTGTAACAAATGAACCACTCTGGTGGGGGATGTTGAGAATGGAGGAGGCCGTGCATGTGTGGGTTGGGGGTTATGGGAAATCTCTGTACCTCTTGCTCAAATTTGCTGTGAACCTAAAATTGCTCTAAAATATAAAGTCTTTTAAAAAAAAAATAGGTGTTGGAGGAAAGCAAGGAACCTGAATAATCCACACAGTGTGAACAACAAAGATGGCTTTTCACTTAAGAACTTTTTATCTCACGGTCTGTCTTAGAGATTTACAGTCTGATGTTGGAATCCTCTTTGGTGCAAGCACTCATTTATCCATTCCGTGTGGGAAGTTTTTCACAAAAGGCATCTTCTCTAATAAATCATTTTTCACTAGGAAGATCGTGTATTTGAATATTTAACCCAATATGGGATATGGTAACACAACACAGTGGAAAAAATGCTAGGTGGGATTGCAGGACATCTAGGTTCTCAGCCAGGCATCCATCAACTGGCCTTGTGATGGATTATTTTCATGCTGTCACATAAGAAGTTTCCACTCAATGACTTCAAAGTCCCTTTCTGTAACTTTCTGTGAATCCCTGTTCATGAATTTAGCATTTCTTCTCCCTAGTTCTGACACTCAGCATATACCTCTTCTATCTAACCTATAATGTAGTCCTGGGCCACATGGCAGGAATCCTTTCCAGTTGGTCCCCAAGAGTAATGTTTCAGGATCAAGGTCATAAGGCACCGCCTTGGCTTTGCTCTTTCTCTTTCCAAACCAATGTGGTTAGTTAATGACTGTTAAGAATTCCGATGACAGTAAGACTAAGCGTGACTGATGGGTTTAGTCCAGCTGGGCTATACCTGAGTCAAATTGGCTGGGGGCAGGAGGGCATTGTCAAAGAAAACCAGTGACTTGCTATTCAGTGGCGATTTTGATATCAAGTTTATTGATGTTAAGGAGCATTTGCCATTATCTTTTTGGCTTTTGTCATTCGTCTTCATTGAGGTTTTGAGTACATTAAGTGCAGCAAGCCTGCTGGAGATTCTTCTAATCATCTATTGTTAAAACTTGTCATTGAAATAGTTTTTTCTCTCACATTAACTTAGTACTAAAGGACTCTCATGGAATGTCACCGGTGAGTATTCAAATTCCAGATCCTTGGTCCCAGCTGCTGCTTCATGTGTTCCATTTGAGAATGAGCAAAGTCCCTGCTGAGGGACTTTAGGCCCTTAAGTCACACATACTTCTGCCAAGACTGTGTCTCCTTTAGCCCTAACCTGATGGGGGCCAAATTTGTGTTTGTTTTTGGATTTGGTTTTGTTTTCATTTTAAGTTACTTAAATTAGATAATATAAGGTGGGGATTTTTTCTATCTTATTCCCAGCACCAGGATAGTGCCTGACACATAGTAGATACTTAGTAAATATTTATTAAATTAATGAATGGATGAAAGTATAAGTGATTTCATTCATTTATTTATTTATTTTTTTAGTAAAACAGTAAGTGGTTTTTCTGAGCTTCTCTTTCCTCCTGGCTCCAGCAGGAACTTACTCTACCAATCACCCCATCTGAGGTATCCTCAGTCTCTCTCCTCTCCACTGGTCGCTGCCCTTTGGCCTTACAAAGATGGCGATTTCACCACAACCTAATAAAACTTCCCCAGAATTTCACCTCCATGTCGAGGTGCCTACACATAGCTCACTTCCATTTCCGGTGGACATGCTTGTTTTCTGCTTCTACTTCCTGTTCTCTCATTGAATGCCCACCCACACTGCCTTTAGCTCGCACCACTCCACAGATGCGGCTTTGGCTAAGGTCAGCAGCAGCCTCTAAGGAGCAGACCCAGTGACTCCTACGTCCTTGCCCTCTTTAGTTTGTGGAACTCTGTGGAACTCTCCACCAGGCTGGCCTCTCTCCCTCCTCATCCTGCTCTTTCTCCTGTGGTCACTGCTTTGGTTAATAGTCCCCAGTAAGTTACCCTGGTGTTTCTAACAATTGACCATCAAATATGGTGTTTATCTTAGTTTTCTTCTATATTGCCTATAAGTTAGGGACATTTCTATCTAATTCTATTAAGAATTTTTATATGAAATGAATGATTTTTTCCCTTTAACTTAATATTGTAGGTTACATTTGATATATTTTTAAAAGTTGAGTCATCTTTGTAATCCTCTGATAAGCTCTATTTGGGCATGATATATTAATATTATACTTTTTAAATAGACTGCTGGATTCTACTTGCTAATATTTTATTTAAGATCTTTGCATCATAAGTGTCATCTTGTCCTTTCTTAGTTTCAGGATTGTGATAAAATCTCCCTCAGGAGAATCATAAACACCAGCATCGCTAATGTTATTGAGTACATGCTATCTGTTCCAAGCATTGTTTTGAGTACTTTTCATACCTTGTTTCATTTAAACCTCATGCCAGGCCTATAAGGGACCCAGGCCCACCCCTAAATTTACAGGCCATGGCAGGCATTCAAATGGGAGTTTGCATGTTAAAATGCATAAATAAAGCTACTGAATATGTTTTATTCTCCTAACTTGACAAATATACTTTTATGATACCCAGAAAGCCAGAATTGAATTTAGAATTCTCAGACTTGGAGGCTGCTCCAGGCTACTGGAATGTGACAGCTTGGAGAGCATGCCTCTGGCCTGCCACCCACCCCTATTCCTCCTCACCCTCTGCTCTGACATCACATGCCAGCAAGGTCTCATGTGTCAGGTGGTACCCTCCAGCCTGCCCATCCAAGTCCCATCCACACCCCTGTCACACAGCCAACTCTAGGCAACATCTCAGACCTAGGGTTGTACCTGGAAGGCATAGTCAGCCAACAGGAATAAGCCAGAAAAGAAGTTCACGCAGAACTTGGACACATGCTCGTGGCCATTGGGCAGGGAATTCTAGGGTCCTGGTACTGGACATAGTCTAGAAAGGGAATGAGCTCTCAGTGACGTTGGCCCCCGTATCCATTTAATAGATGAGAAAACTGAATCACAAAGAGGTTAAATAACTTGCCAAAGATCACATAACTAAGAAGTGGTAGAACTGGGATTCAAATACATGTTATTTGGCCCATACACAGCCACCACACTATGCTGCCTCCCTTGGTAAAGTTTAGTTTGCTTAACATGGCTTAGCTGCTGTAGATTAAGGCACTGTAACAAGCGGACCCAATACTACAGTGGTTCAGAAAATATAGACTAGTTTATTTCTCTCCCACGGGGGCAAATGAGCAATGAGCAATCCAGGTGGAGGGCAGATCAACCCCACAAGGTAATCTAGAAACCCAGTTATCTATACCGCCATCGCCTAGGGCAGTAGTATTCAAAGTGGGGTCTCTAATCAGCAATTTGTTAGAATTTGTTAGAAATGACTCAGACTCATTGAATAAGAATTTCTGGGGATAGAGCCCAGCGATCTGTGTTTTAACAAGCTCTCCAGGTTACTCAGATGCATGCTAAGGTTATCCTTGTCTTCATGGCTAAGGTTGTTTCACCACTACCATGTCCAAATTTCAGCCGATAGAGATGGACAAAGAAAAAGGGAGGGCAGCCAGCTTCCTTTTTAAGGATGTAACCTGAAAATTTCAAACGTCACTTCTGCACACATCTCAATAGCCAAAACTTTGGTCACATGGCTGCTTCTTGCTGCAAAAGAAGCTATGAAATGGACCCTCTGGCTGAATGGTCACATGGCCCTGCTAAAACTCAGGGGGGCAGGAAAAATGAGAGATTGAATACTGGGGTGGGAGGGGTGCAACTTGCAAGTTTATGGCACAAAGGCCAAGTCTGTTTTATCATTTGGGCCTTACATGCACAGTGCCTAGAGCCTGCCAGCTTTTCAAGACCCTTTTAAAATGTTTGCTATCTGAAAAAAAAAAAAAAAAGAAAAAATTACTGGTCCTGAAATACAAAAGGAAAACCTTTAAACAGAAATTAATATGTTATTAAGTAGTCAACTGCAATTCAACTCATTATTTAGAATTTAACACAGAATCAGGGTACATTTTAATATGTTTGATCTAATGTGCAATGGAGTCTCCAAAGTATCTAGTTCTGCAGAAGT